CACAGTTGTTTGCGATAGTCCAAGTTCTCTACTAGCACTACGGGTTGACTTCATTGGGCTGCGCTCAAAGTTCACTCGAATGCACTCCACGTTCTCCTCCGATACACGCGATCGGCCCGGGACGCAGTGATGGAGGGCACTAGCGGTAGTACTAGAAACTTTGTAACATCCTCTTTCAAATGTACTTTACAGAATTCAAATGCAACATACAGTTCAGGAAATATAGTCAATTGAAATTGTGTCCATCTTTCTGAATCACTCTGTACAACTAGGACTATCACGGTGTAGGGAAGCTTAGTTTTGCGGACCACCAGTTGGTTCCCCCTGCGTAAGCAATGCAAATCACTAAATATAACTGACTAAATATAGTGCGCGGCATGTACTGTCTTCGCTCGCTTGGAAACCGGGATCGTGGGTTCGAATCCCACAAGAGGCATGGATGTTTTTCTGCGTTTATTCTGGTTTGTGTTGTCCTCTGTATGTAGCGGCCTATTGACGGGCTGATCCCCCGCCCAAGGAGTCCTACCGACTGTCTGTGGATTAAGAAACTGAAGTGAAACAAAGCGTTTGACGGATGCCCTATGCTCTAAGTGGAAGCAACAGGAATACAGATTAAGTAAAATAATTTTACGTCTGTGCATTATAGTCTTTTGTTTTATGACATAATCCTACCATCTGAACAGGCCTGTATTTAACGTTCATAACACGTACATCTGTCCCCGAGAGTGCAGTTCATTTTATTTATTTTCATAACATTTTATTTGTAGGTCTATCGAGGAATATCCTACACGAAATAAGAAAACGGAAGGCTAATTGGATTGGTCATGTTTTACGCAGAAACTGCCTTCTAAAAGAAGTTATCGAAGGAAAGATAGAGGGGCGGATAGAAGTGACAAGAAGACGAGGAAGAAGACGTAAGAAGATGCTGGATGACCTTGGGGACAGAAGAGGATACTGTCATTTGAAGGAGAAAGCTCTAGAGCGCATTAAGTGGAGGAATTGTTTTGGAAGAGACTGTGGACCTGTCATCTTGACAGATTACTGATGATGAAGATATTGATGCTGATTATTATAGTTTTATACCATACTCTATCTGAATGGAAATCTCAATTACATACTAAAGAGACCATTCTTTCCTCTCTATGGCTCTATAACCATTTGGACCTTGGTCACTTTTTCAATTTCTTAATCCTATACACACTCAGTTGGACTGTTTGGACGGGGATCAGGCCGCAAGGCCTCTACCTATACAGAGCATAATTAAAACACAGAATAAACGCACAGAGACATCCATACCCCGAGCTGGATTCGAACCCACGACCCCAGTGTTTGAGCGGGCGCAGATATTTTATGCCTTAGACAGTTTCTGTGCTGCAGAATCCACCACTGATGAAATGGTGAGGGCACTGAAGAGAGCGAAGCGGAAACAGTAGCCTCAGAGACAGGAAGCTGGGCCCGACAATTGGGCGCTAAAGGGAGTTGAGTTTGGAGCGTGGGTTAAGGGAGTTGGGGGGAGGCCCCTTTCTTAGGGAGAGTGAAGGAGGTAGACGTGGTACATGTACCAGACAGGGAGGAGCACTCCGCGTCAACATGGGCAACCATCGTCCCTTAATTAATTAAATGCTGTTCGCAATCAGACCGAGAAGGAAACATTGCTCTACCAAAACCGCTCGGTTCGACTGCGACTTACAGCAATCCTTCAAGGATCTCAGACAGATACTCCACTTAGAGGTGCCCTACATCTCCTGACGACTGGCTCATGTTGCTACGGTTTTGTAGAAGCAACGTTATTTGTAACAATGCCAGAACCATGAAACAAAATTCTGCTGATAATTGACAAAGAGAACGTTGCGTATAGTTTGACATGGAACTCGTGAAGCTCAACATTTCTTGATTTATCTTTTTATAGTTTCGTATTCCTCATTAATTTACTCACGGAGCTGAGCCCTTCTGGAGAAGCCGCAAATTCTGGAGATACTCAAGAACTTCCTAGCATTTTATGGAACCCGAAGGTTCATTACCGTGTTCACAAGAGCCTTCCACTGGTCCCTATCCTGAGCCAGATCAATCAAATCCATACCATCCCATCCTATCTCTCGAAGATCCATTTTTAATATTGATCACCCAGCTACGCCTTGTACTTCCAAGTGGTCTCTTTCCTTCTGGCTTTCCACCAATATCCTTTATGCATTCATCTTCTCCACCATTCGTGCTACATGCCCTGCCCACCTCATCCTCCTTCACTTTTGTATTTCTCAGTTTTGTTAATAAGTATACCAAAATGATCTGTAAACTAAAATGTACAAGGATTATCAGCCAGTATCTGGGTACATGGCAGGGTCCAAGTTAGAAACGAAAATAAAAACAAAAATGATATTCATGATTTAAATTGAAACCACGTCAAATTCGGGAAAAGTTCTGCTACTATCCAGTCCAGAATAATTCATCTTCTTATGTCACATCTAATAATGTATGCATTACGATCATGTATATTGGAAATGAAGCACGCAGTAGCGTATTTTGTTGAGGCACTATGCTACAAGCCGGAAGGTCGCGGATTCCATTCCCAATAAGATGGATTTCTCAGGTGACCTAATCCTTCCAGCCGCACTATTGCCCTGGGGTCGACTCAGCCTCTAACAGAAATGAGTACCAGGAATCTTCTCGGGGGTAAAAGGCGGCCGGCGCATAAGGCTGACAACCTTACTGCCATCTGTGAGCCGATTGTCTAGAAAATGTGGGAACCTCGACAACTCACAACCCTATGGGCCTCCACGGCCTGTTACAGGAATAACTTTGATTTTTTTTTTAGTTTTAAGAGAACGGTTATGTTCTAGTTTTGGTACCCGTAAAGTGATACGTTTATTTCCCCCATGAAAATGAGTTTCTTTGTCAATTCCGTGCATTTAAGAATACATTCGCCGCGTTATGTGAGGAATTCATGTATGGGCATTGTGATTGACAACTTCGGACTTTCTTTTTCTGCTCTTATAAGTAGATGAGCAACTGAACGAAACAGATAATACTGCTGCACTAATATTATTAGATACTGTAATAATACGGAGTCCTTGTCTGAAACATTTGAAGAATTTGCACTTTAACATTGTGGTACTTATCATATTGCCGGTCACGGTAGCCCAGCGGTCTAAGATATGCACTGTCTTGGCTCGCTCGGAAGCCGGGTACGAATCCCACTCAGGGCATATATTTTTAGTGTTTGTGCGTGTGTGCGCGTTTTCTCTGTGTTTGTATATAGGCAGAGGCCTTACGACGAGCTGATCACCCACCCAAGGAGTCCTACCGAATGTCTAAGATCTAGTAAACCGAAGTGGAACGGAGTTTCATGGAGGTAGGCCAAGGCCCAAATTGGGGCTGTAGCGCCAAAGTAAAAATGTCTCATATTACACCACAATTGGACCGCCTCTGTGGTCTAGAAGCCAGAGTTCTTGGTTACTAGATCCAGAGGTCCGGGTTCGATTCCCGGCGCTACTAGATTTTCTGAGAGGTATTGGATCTGAAACGGGGTCCACTCAGCCACGCGAGGAATATTGAGGAGCTACTTCAATGGAAAAGCAGCGGCTCCGGTCTAGAAAACTAAGACTAACGGCCGTCGGGATTCGTTGCGCTGACCACGCGACACCCTCTATCGTCTAAAGTTGGCACTAACTTCGCCCATAAGCGGCTGTCGCTCGGTCGGTATAGTTCGCTTGCGGACTAGATACCACGGAGTTTGTTTTTTTTTCTTTTGTATAGTACAATTAACTTGCCTTGCGTACGGGTGATATGACTGAAGCAATAAACCTAGGCATATTCTGGCTAACTTTCAATGTACTAGTTCGAAATCGCCGCCAAACGTTTGGTTCTGTTTGGCACTCAGATTCACTGGGTATTCTGACTTGGTCCATCATCCGGTATTCTAGAAACTAGGAAACATAACGTTTCGGAAACTGGATCTGTTTCCGTCTATAAGTGAAGAAGGGAAAGACGCCTACTCAGTTGGGTCCCTTAGAAAGAGCTAACATAAATGATTAGTTTCTGGAATGCCGGACGATAGATACAGTACAAAAACCCAGAACACTTTAGAATCTATTTGGTTCTGTTTCCTTATTAAAACGCGTGACAATGTGATGATACAATTGTTGTCAAAGAACTGATAGCTGATATCAGATTGAAGAACCAAAGACTCACAACAGTCAAAACATACACCTGCCTCTGGGGGAGGGGGGATCATATCAATTAAATTAATTCCGTACATTAGAACCTGAATCCTGACAGGCTTACATCAAGTTACAAGCACATCGCATCCTACAGTATAAAGGCAACAATGTGACGAGTACTCTACAGCAGTGTTTCTCAACCACCGCGCCGCGGTCCGGCAGATCATACCAGGCCCTCGTCTTATAGAAAAAGAATTTACCGGGCCGCGGTCTCACAAGGTTGGGAACCACTGCTCTACAGTATATAGGGGGTAGAAATATTAGTCCTTTTGTCCAGACGACTCACCAGCCCCATCGGTGAGCGGTTGGACGGGTTGTTGACCCCTTGTGTGAGTGTGAGTGAGTACACTAGGCTAGCTATCTGCCTCAACCCCGCCCCCACGCTCCGCCACTCGCCGGCTTACCTGTAACATAAGATCACACATCGAATTAAACAACGTTGCTAGGTACAAACCTCCATTCAGACTACTTATCCCACAGTCAAGCAGCGTCTTACCTTACACTGCGCATGACAGAGTTCCACCTAAACTAGACAAGCTGTATCAGTCTCTAAACGGAGATGGAGTGTACATTCACTTCTTTTAACAAAGAATTCTACACATCAGATACAGATAACATGATTCGGCATATAATAGATGTTATCTCAGATCTTTACATGAACATATAAAACAGGGAGCATCACTAACTGATACAATAGGCCAATTAGAGGCCGATGTACCAAGTGGACTCAGTCTCACCCCACCACAAGAAACTAAACTAACTAAACTACTGTATGAAAGTTGTTGTTTAAGAAAAGCAACATAATCCGTGGCTTTTGTACACAAGCGAACTATACCGACCGAGCGACCGTCGATTTTCGGCGAAGTTAGTACCAACTTTAGCGGATAGAGGGTGTCTCGTGGTCAGCGCAACGAATCGCAACGGTCGTTAATTTCGGTTTTCCAGACCGGAGCCACTATTTCCTTGGGATAGCTTCTCAGTTATCCTCACGACGCTGAGTGGACCCCGTTCCATACCAACTACTTATCAGAAAATCTGGTAGCGCTGGGAATCGAACGCGGACCTCTGGATCTGTAGCCAGAAACTCTGGCTACTAGACCACAGAGAGGGTCAGTTTTTGTTTAAGGGATGTGAATAAAGCAGCCATCGGTAGGGAGCTCCTTCGGTCCCATAAACGTCCTGATCGCGGCAGACGCTAAACCTTGTTCGTCAAGGCCTGTCTCTTCGAGACGCGTCAGCAGACACTGAATGTTATTTCCATCGCATAAATCGTACCGCTTTCCACATTTCGTTACAGTACACCGTGTTGTGCCCTAGTCAGACCACGCCACTGCCGCAATCCTCCTCCTAACAGTAGGTCCACTTTAATGTAAGAAGCACTGCCGTTTTTGCTCCAATTTGCAACGGAATCTTCTTACACCAAGATCTGGGTGTTTGAAGCTGGTGGAGTGTTGTGTTCTCTCACACCCTCTACTACATTCACATGAATTATTATTTCAAATGGTTGTGTATTTTTTAATAAAAATGAATGGGGCATATTCTATGTTCCTTCTTCCCTTCGCACTGAAAACATGGGTCGCCGATATACCCTCAGTGTTACACTTGAGAGAACATGGCTCCGTAAAGGGAAATAAATAATTCTAAAATGAAACCAGAACAACGCATAAGTTCATTGGGGCTTCAGAGATGAATGGGATCCCGTGACAGTGCGTCGTGTTCATTGTCTTACTCGTGGCGGGCCGAGACGTAGAAACCATTTCGAGAGCGTAGCTTTTCTGAATCATATACAGAAGTTTGGCTTTCGCCTTCAAGAAAACACAACACATATCGATTTTGAAGTTAATTCGGCTGATAATATTAAAAAAAATATGACTGACAAACAACGGAAGCTAACAATCTCTCTTTCTCTCTCGCAGTCAAATGCTGAGCTTTCTGATGTTAGTTTAGGTCGTATACCACTAACCACTGAAGGGTAAATGATGCTGTATCAACTGACATGGCTATTTAGCATCGAATTATATGACAGGCGATCGCTTTCGTTCAACTTGGAAAGATCAGCGACAACGCAGGTAGTGGCTTATTTCAAGACACTACACAGTTTCCTTGATGAACTGAAGAACAACACGAGAAACCTGAGTCGGCAGCTCGACCGGTAAACGTAGCAGCCACCTACAGGACACAAGGTCTACAGCGTAAGCCAACCTGTTTTGCGGCAGAAACTGTGAAGTCAGTCAATTACAAGACTACAAGACTACATGAGATCTGTCAGCATGGACGGAGAGACAGATAGGTAACTGGGTCCATGGTTGATTGTTTGGCTGGTTGTCTGGCTGACTGGTTGTTTGAATAGTTGGTTCCTTAGTTGACTGGTTCGCTAGTAGGCTGGTTGACTGGTTGGTGGGTTTGTATGGTTGGCTGGTTGGTTATTTGGCTGGTTGTCTGGCTGGCTGGTTGATTGAATAGTTGGTTCCTTAGTTGACTGGTTCGCTTGTTTGGTTGGTTGGTTGGTTGGTTGATGGACTGTTTGGTTTGATTGGTTGGCTGGTTGGTTGGTTGATTGATTAGTTAAATGGTTGGTTGTTTGGTTGGCTGGCTAGTTGTTTGACTGATTGGTTGGTTGGCTGGTTGGTTGGTTGGCTTGATTGGTTGGATGGTTGGTTGATTGGTTGGTTTAGTTGGTTGGTTGGTTTGTTTGTTGGTTGGTTGGCTGACTGGCTAGTTGTTTGACTGGTTGGTTGGCTCCTCGGTTGACTGGATGGTTGGTTGGTTCGATGGATGGGTCAGTGGAAATATGGGTGCTTGGATACCGGGACATCAAGAGAAACAAATTCTTGTTTATTTCTCAGAAAAAGGGGTAAACATGGAAGGAGCGAATCTGAGACCTGGGTGCTGATGATATCTCGACCTGAGAGAGGGTGCACCAGATGGCGTATGCACAGATGCACATGAAGGCGTATGAGGGAGTGGATGTATACATCCACATTTTCTTGACCTAGACACTAATTGGAGGTAAATGGTCAGCTTCACGCCCCTGCAGCTTTATTCGCGGGGAAAGAGTCCTTGTTACCCATTGGATAGGAGGTTGGGTGGAATGCAGAGCCGGTATAGATGAACAGAAAATCCTTGACACTAACGGTACTCGAACTCCGACCCCTCGGTAATCCAACCCGTAGCCAGTGTATACCAACTACACTAATCCGGCTTCATCACTAATACAATCACACCATTCCATGTTGAATAAAACAAGCAGTTGAAAATAGTCGTTAAATAATTGAATAATAAAGGAAACATATCCAGTTCAAAACATCAGAAGACTTTTTAAGTTCCCGAAACCTTGAGCCTAAAATGCATGGTCCCAAACGGAAGAATGAAATAGCATCACTCTCTCTTGTGCAGTTACAGTAAACTGAAGACTATACCAAAACAAAAAATCCGTGGCCTGTAGTCCGCAAGCGAACTATACCGACCGAGCGACCGCCGCTTATCAGCGAAGTTAGTGACACCTTTAGCGGATAGAGGTCGTCACGTGGTCAGCACAAGGGCCGTTAATCTCGGTTTTCTAGACCGGAGTCGCTACTTCCTTGAAATAGCTCCTCAATTATCCTCAGGAGGCTGAGTGGACCCTGTTCCAGACCCACTACTTCTCAGAAAATATTGTAGCGCCGGGAATCGAACCCAGACATCTGGATCTGTAGCCAGGAACTCTGACCACTAGACCACAGGGGCGGTGCGAAGATAATACCTGAGATTCAAAAAATCCAATTCACAATGCAGCTTCAAATTTATTGCTTCCGTAGTTTGGAGCTTCATGTTCCATGTGGTCACGTTACAAACAGGCTGAATGGCGTGCCTCTGGGCCTCGGGCATTGAAGGGCAGCCTGTGGAGATCAAGTACCTTTCATACACCTCCATTAATCATTGTTGCATTCAAGTGCCTTGCCGCGTGAATCTCGCGGAATCACGTATGATTCTTTCAGTGACCGCTGACCGAAACAAATTTCTGAAGTTCCAGTGAAACGGTAGCAATAAGTTCAAAGTTTAAATAGAACTGTTACATTGTCAAGAGCATCCCTTATTCTTTCCACATATCACGTAAATTTTACTGCTTACTCCGCTGTTGTTTCAACATGTGTTTAATTACCGTATTTACGCATGTACAGGCCGCACATTTTTTGCCAAAAATTCAAGAGGAAAACTGGGGTGCGGCTTATATTCGAAATCACACTTCATTTAAAAAAAATATATTCATAATTAGTAATACAGAATGTTCTACTCCTGAAAGAATATTACAAGAAAATTATTTTTTCTATAATTTCTGTCTGAAAATTGTGCTGCGGCCTATACACGCACGCGGCCTATACATGCGTAAATACGGTATCTACTTAACAACAAAGAGTCAGAAAATTATTTAGTCTTGCGAGAATTTTTTTAATTGCAAAAATATGTGACTTAATTTTGTCAACAGATGTCAACTATAATGTTTCTGGACATGATCCATCGTCCCGTTCTTATTTAAAATAAATGTTTCGGACACAGGATTAAATCTCCGTCTTCAGGTGTAACCCACTCCTACAGCTTTGTTAGTTAGTTAGAGGAAAAGGAAAGACAAGTGGCCCGCAAAACTGTGTACACGTACATGTCCCATTACCGGAATGAGAACAAAATCATAATCTAAAGATAGACCATGACTTCTTCGAAACTACAGTAAAGTTAGCCGGTCACGGTAGCCGAGCGTTCTAAGACATTACTGTCTTCGCTCGCTCGGAAGCCTTGGTCGTGGGTTCGAAACCCACGCAAGGCATAAACGTTTGGTGTGTATGCGTATATTCTGTTTGTGTTGTCCTGTGTTTAGGTAGAGGCCTTGCGACGAGCTGATCACCCATCAAAAGATTCCTACCGTCTGTAAAAATGTTCAATGAAACTGAGAAATCAGCCCCACGCTCCAGAGTGGGAGCGAGAAAACCAAACAGTAAAGTTGAAATATCTGGGAACTCGTAGCAAAACTGATCACGATTGCATTCATGAAGAAATGAAAATGGGATTGCATACGAACGGTACTTGCTCCCTTTCAGTTCGGAATTTTCATATCCATTGCACAAAACCTCCGTGGCCTGTAGTCCGCAAGCGACCGAGCGACCGCCGCTTGTCGGCGAAATTAGTGCCAACTTTAGCGGATAGAGGGTGTCACGTGGTCAGCGCAACGGATCCCCACGGCCGTTTATCTCGGTTTTCTAGACCGGAACCGCTATTTCCTTGAAATAGCTCCTCAATTATCCTCACGAGGCTGAGTGGACCCCGATCCAGACCCACTACTTCTCAGAAAAATCTCGTAGCGCCGGAAATCGAACCGGTGACCTTTGGATTTGTAGCCAGGAACTCTAACCACCAGACCATAGAGGCGGCA